TGTTTTATGCAAAGGTGCTTTGTCAATCATAGCACTCGCTAACTTGCTCAAGGACTCCTCTCTGTGCCAATCACAGCAGGCTTGGCCAGCTGACCAATCAAAGCAGAGTAGGCTTATAGAAGGGAGGGGTTTGCTCCGAACTTGCTTGGAACGAATCGTTTAGAAATCATTGGCAAATGTCTCTAATATTAAATGTATATTCTGAGTAAATTACAATGTTTTCTGACCTTAGATGCATTTAAACCTGTTGTAGGGGACTCCAACACAATATTAGAACACATTAAAATACCATATGACCTGCTCTTTAAATAAAGCTTGTTACACAGTAAAATGTCCAATATCATTTCATGTCAATTACCCATACCAAAGTACTACAGTACTCATCAGATGCCATCCCTACACCGATATCACCTTTTTGTAAGGCTACATAGTAAACTTGTAGAGATGGTTTTCAAAAGCAGATAGACTATTGGTTGTCATGTAGTCAGCTAAGGGCTCTTCCTCTTCATTACTCCTACGTGCGACTCTGTTTGTGTTTTCATTGGATAATGACACCAGAAGCTCTGGCAACAGTACCAATAACAAAAACAACCTACGAACCTGCCGACTTCACACTTATCAACCTCCAGAGAGAAAGAGAGAGTGCTATGGATCCAGTATGAAATACTGTGAAGATAACAAGAGAAAACTGTGCCAAGGACAGAGAGGGATGGGACAGGATAGGACAGGAAAGAGTGATTGATAGGTGAGAGCAGAAAGCCTGATAAAAGGCTTAGGTGTGGAGAGGAGACACGAGCGATGAGAGATGAGCGGTAGAGGGAGGAGAGCAAACATGAGAGAGAGGTGGAGAGACAGATTACATCCAAGGAGCTCCGCTGATAGGCAACAGTACTTGTAATAAAGCAGGAATGCTATAAGAAGCAGATGGCCCTGTGGCAGAGAGAGACAGAGATATGGGCTAAACAGAAAATGATAATATCATGGAATCACTGATAGCTCTCATTTCTCTCTCACCGCTGTCTGCACTACACTGTCCTGGACATCACAACTAGCTCAGACCATAGCTTTAGGGGGAAAACAAAATTTAAGATGTTACCCTGAGAAAAAAATTGAAATAAAAAGCCAAGAACACAACACTTGCAACACAACACTAAAAGAGCTTTAAATTGCATTAAAATATTTGGTCACACTTTATTTTAAGGTTCAATTCTCACTATTAACAAACCATTAACTTTGACTTTTGCCTCAATAAACTCCTAATTTGTTGCTTTTTAATAGTTAGTAAGGTAGTTTTTAAGTTTAGGTATTGGGTAGGATTAGGGATGTAGAATATGGTCATACAGAATATGTGCTTTATAAGTACTAATAAACAACCAATATGTTAATAGGCATGCTAAAGCACTAAAAGTAAGAATTGGTCCCTGCACTAAAGTGTTACCAAATATTTTATACTACAATAAGGTCAAATAAAGTTACTTTTTGACTTTCAATTATAATTTTTCATATCTAAATTATAAACAAAACTTTCCCCACATTTACATATACCTTTCAAAGATTTTGGGGTCAGTAAGTTTAAAAAAAAAAAAAAAATTTTTTTACTTCAGTCTTCAGTGTCACATGATCCTTCAGAAATTATTCTAATTTGTAAGAAACATTTATCATTATTATCAGTGTTCAAAACACTTTTTGTGGAATCCATGTATTTTTTTTATGGAAACCATGATACATACTGTACGTTCTACTTCTAACAGAAAGTTTAAAAGAACAGCATTTTTGAAAAATAGAAATCTTTTATTACAATACAAAATACTTTAATATCACTGTTGTGATAAAACATTTAAAAAAATCTAACTAAACTTTTCAATAGTAATGTAGATCAACCAAGATTTCAGTTATATAAATCTTTATGAACTTTTTAATATTTCTAAATAGAACATGACAAATAATATACAAAGTGACAAATGATATATTCATAACGCAACCTTTGCTCTCAACAGCACAACCATGCATTATTCAGTCAATACAGCAATCTATACTACATCATGGGCTGTGGCATTAAATAGATGATAGAGATGAGCAGCATCACGCTTCTCCTTCAGTAGAGCAAGACTGCTGGATGTCCTCAGGTGCTGCTTGTGGCTGTCATATTTCAACAGCTCCATACGAACCCTAATAACCATCCATTGGGAGAACATCATAAGACCCACACAACCCTGTCCAAAGGGTCCCTCCCACACACACACACACACACACACACACACATCAGCTCCTTTGTTGTTCTTTGTGAATGAAGAAGGGATCAAAGCAGCGGATCTCTACGTGAAGGTGCCCCAACCTCCGTCAGAACCACTTGGCCGGTAATGGGCTTTCATCAGGGGGTGATGAGGTGAGAGCAGGATAGGACAGATGGGGGAGAAAGGGGGATAAGGAATTAGGAACACGAGGGGGGCGGCAATTGATCAACTGTCATCTCCGCTTACAGTACGTTGTTGCACCTTTCACAGGAAAATATCCGATCCAACTGGGTAAGATGCACACTGGGCACAATCATCTCCTCCATTTCAAAGTGGAACCATTTGAATGAGACCGCAGCCCACAACTCTAGCAACAGGATGCAAGAACTTTCAACAAAAGCCTCCATTTAGAAAACTCAACATGGATTACAAAAAATGTAGTGATGACATTAATGAGTTATGAATGAAAATATAAAATCAAAACCATAATGTAAACCTCATATCAGATTTTTCAACCCATAATGAGATGGTAAAATCCTGTTTTACTGTCGTTCTCTGGTGCCGTTCAGTATAATTATTCCAAACATTCATCACGCATGAACAATGGTAGTCCAATGCCCCACATACTTTGCAACATAACTGTCTCCTCCTGCTGATAACAAACCCATATTCTGTCAGCTCACATACCAGACCGATGCTTAGCACTCTGCAGTGAAATAAATGTGAACCTTGCCTCAAACTATTTAGGTACAGTTAGTCTGAGGCAAATTATGTCCTAGTAGGACAAGACAATGATTTAAACAGATTCATTTTTATTGGATATTTCACTCAAAACTAAACCTTCTGTCATCATTTACGCATGCTTATTCTTCATCTGCATTGTCAGGAAAAAAAAGGTAAAATTGTAACTTTAGGGCCAACAGCTTGTCACTGAGGCAGTATCCTTGAAGGGGCAACTTTTGTACCTTATTAGTACCTTAGAGTAGTATTATGTACCCTTAAAGTACTAATATGAACCTTTAGGGGTAAATAAGAAGAAAATACAAAGATCCCCCTTTAAGGGTACTGACCTCCATCTGATGGACACTTTACAATCCCATGAGGCCATGGGAGAGGAGTTATGACTGGCAGTGAAGTGAAGCAACTGACGCTGGTGCCAACATTACAAATGTAGCACTTCTGGATTACATTTTATTAGTGCTGTCAAACGATTAATCACATCCAAAATAAGTTTTTGTTTACATAATATATATGTGTGTGTACTGTGTACATTTATATAAATACACACACATACCGTATATATTTTGAAAATATTTACATGTATATATTTATATTAATATAATTTATATTATATATAAATCTATTTAATATATAAACATAACATATTTTTCTGAATTTATGTGTATTTATATATACATAATAAATATACACAGCACACACACATATATTATGTAAACAAAAACTTTTATTTGGGATTTTTATTTAATCGTTTGACAGCACTACATTTTATACTACACACACTCATACTATACACTATACAGAACATAATTTCTGAACAGTTGTGAAGTAATTACTTATTGAAAAGAAGTGCCTAGATGCAGCCAAGCTGTTGTACACCTACATTTCTTTTGCACAACTTTTGACATGATTTCTTCCATAAAATACAAAAGGGGAAATGTCACAGAATGTCCAAGCTGCTCTTTTCCATACAATGACAGTGGATGGTAATAATCGGACAGCTAAGGCCACTGCAATAAATAACTTACTTTGTGTTTCATAAAACACAAGGCTGAGTAAATGATGACAGAGTTTTATTTTATTTCTTTAAATTACACGCCTACAAAAATCTTCAGATCATCAGATTCCCACCCAACCTTTCTGCTCTACAGAGATGATGTTATCCTCTGATGAATACTATGCAAACCTGCAGGTGTCACATCAATTTATTTTCCAATTTCCTGTCCGCTGAGATACCCTCTCTCTTTCTATCTCTCTACTGTCCCACTAGATGAAATATTGAGGGCTTTTTCTGCAGAGGAGCAAACTGGCCCTATTTTACCCCATGTGAGCCAGACTCTAAGGCGATCGTCTTGAACATCCAGCTCAAGTTCTGTAGTGCTCTGTGGCCCCACAACAACGCACAATAAATCAACGAAGCATTTCATTAGAGCAGACGGCTACATCTCCAGCGAGCCGGTGCCCTGTGTATTGTAAAGGTGCACGGCGGCGGACCAGGTCAGGCTAAAAACTAGAATGCTGGTGTTGTCACAACCAAACAGCCTGACCCCTTACTCCCTTCGTCACGTCAAGGGGTCAGTGAGGCGTGACAACCCCACACAACAGAGGGATCGTGTGACAGCGCAGAGTATAAATGTATTCATCTCCCTCCCTCCAGAGGTCTAGCCTCCGCTTCAGATCTGTCCAATGTCATGAGCAGAAGTATGCAAATGATATTCCCAGTGTTCCCTTGTACTGTTCAGCGAGTCTGCTCTGCATATTCCAAACTGGAAATCTCCTCAGGTGGGATTTCACTCAAAAACCATGAGAAATGTCACACATAATAAATAAACTGCTTTATTATTTATTAAAACACTAATTAGAAAAAGATGCAATCGAGTGTATCCACTGATCTAAATTATATCCTGACAGAAAACATATGTTCATTCATTTCTCCACAAATCATCCCATTCAACAAGCACAAAATAAGAGCTTTTTAAAGCATAAACCAGTGAAAATCCTCCCCAATCTCCTTCTAGAGTTCCATACCTCTTTCTCCTGCAGAAACATCAGGTAGGGGACGAGAAGGCAGAGCGTGTCAGCAGAATCAGCAGTGCGCACACAGCGGTCTATTCCACTCTGATGTGATGGCAGCATGTGAGCTGCTTTAGCTCTCTCAGCTATTGTTACAGCCGCCAGCTCCGCACTGAGCATGCTCCGAACACCGAGCCACTCACCGTTGGCATGGGAACCACTCAAGCACAGACCTCACTAAAAACTAAAAAGGACCTCCCTGATATACACTCTCTCTTTCCCCCCACCTGTCCTCTCGAGGGGGTTTCCCTTGTTTTTGTGTCTGTAACCCTGTGAACCAAAGCAAAGCTTTACAGACCAGAATAAATTGATGTAAAACATCCACTCATGAAGTTAAATAATGCAGTTGAAACTGTAGCTCTAACATAATTTTCTCAGTCATTGTCTTCTGCCTTGAGTTTGATACAATGAAATTCAGTTTAATCCAAATTGTGATGTTATGAAAAAAAAAATGATTTGACACAATCAGAATGTGACCTTAAAAGATTGCTTATCTAAATGAGTCTTACCACACTGAGTCCACACTTTGAATGTCCAAAAACCAACTAGTGAATTAGCAAGGTTAACATGTTTGTTTAGGTGTTAATGTTGTTTATCTATTTTAAAAGAATTACAAAATTAAATAAAACAAATTAAAAAAAAAAAAAAAAAAGATTTCTTATATATAATAAAATAAATAAACAAATAAAAATAAACAAAACAAAATAAAACATTTTAAAAAAATAAAAAAATAAATACCAATAAAAGCTAAATAAATAGTTTATCTGGGTTTTTATTTTTATATTTATTTATTTAAAAATATCTAAAATTAAATAAATATCAAATTAATTAATTTAAAACTACCTAGTTTTTGATTTGTATTATTTTATAAAACAAATAACTATTAATATTTATCTAGAAAATAAATAAATACAAATCGAAATAAATAAAGCTAGTCTAATAAATAAATAAATATCCAAAATAAAACTAGTTCATGTTTTTATTTTTTATTTAAAATATCTACAATTAAATAAAAATGAAAATAAATAGATACATGCATGTAAAATTACCTATTTTTTGTCTTATATTTATTTAAAATTTAAAAATCTATTAATATCTATCTAAATAAACACAAATCTAAATAAAGCTAGTTTATATAGGTTTTTAATATTTATTTAAAATTGTAAAAAAAATAAAGTCTAAATAAATAAATACATAAATAATCTAATGTTTAATAAAATAAAGTTAAAAAAAAATCTAAATAAAGCATTAAAAAAATAATAATAATAACTAAATACCTATCTAAAAATAAATAATACAAATCTAAATAAATAAGCTAGTTTATCTGGGTTTTTAATATTTATTTATTAAATAAATACAGTATATTTATTTATTAAATAAAGAAAGAAAATGTCTAAAAATCTAAATAAATAACTCCGTTCCAAAGCACGGGCAGTAATCTCTGCTGGAACGCAGTGCAGGATTGTACTGCATTCCCACGAGAGGGCTTTCAAAGCATATTGGCTGTGCTGTGTAATTACAGTATGTTGCGTGGGGTTGTCGTGGCTGGGCCATATGGAGAGAGCTAATCCTCCGTGTTACCGCACATGCTTCTCAGCTCCTCCAGCGATCAGCTGAGCCTGTCAAGCCCCGTGAGTCTGCACAGTAAAATCAGCAGTGTAATATTTGCAGTGTTAAAAGTTATTAATTCCCAAAGAGTGGAATTAACAATCTACTGTGTTAAACAGTACTCGTGTTCAGTGTTGTTATATGGTGTGATACTAATAATTTCACTTTTACACTGAAAGTGCGGAATAAAAAACCCCGCCGAATTGTCTGGACTCCGCCCTTCAATGACCGCTGCCTTGCGAAGCGACCGAGACGGTAAGTTGGATTGCTTTTCTCTTTACAAAAGTACACATTATCAACAACATTTTTGTTGATAATTTTACTCAAAATATGATTGGTGGTGAACACATTTAGAAATTACTAACTGCGCGTGTTCTTGTCAGGTTTAGTGTTAAGTTCGTGAGGTGCAGAGATGTACGTTAACGTTAAGTTACAGAAGAGTGTGAAAGTTTCTCATGCCGGTTCGATTTCCTGAAAAAAAGGTGATTAATGTCACGTGTAAAATAACTTTTTGGAATGTGCTTACAATTTATGTTATATATGCTTTTAGCTTCTTTCATTTTGGTTCGCTGACAGATCCTCTCGCCGAGGCCTGGCTTTACTAAGTTACGAGTCTGGCACTGAAGTCTGAAGCAGCCACAATTGGGCGGGTTTCTTCTCAAATGAGAGAATTCATCAAATGGTACATTTATATTTGTTTTTGAAAGCATTGAGTGTGGCATTTAGCTGTTTCCATGCTCTGAAACGGCAATAGTGGGACTGTTAAACATTAGGCGCTAACAATTGAGTTTGTGTGACGCATGACACCGTGTTGAAGTGTGTCTCGCCCGCTGCAAACGAGCAGTCTCTCTGCAGACAGAGCTGGCATAACGCGGAACATTTACCAGTCATTTGATTGACGTTATTGAATGCAAAACTGAAATTAGAGCGCGTTTAAAAACTTCCATTCGCCATAGGCTTAAAGGTCCCATATTGTCAAAACTGAAATTTCCTGGCTTTTTCCACGATTACTGGGGTCTAGGTGCTATGTAACTACCATATACGTTTCAAAACAGTCAGTCCACCGTAACATTCACACAGCCTGCTTAAAGTTCTAGCTATTTTTCACGAACCGTTGTGACTTCCGTAAAAAGTTGACGTCAGAACTACACAGTCTCTGCCTTCAGTGGTAGCAGATATGCGATCTAATTTCTAATTTGAGGCTGTATTATGTCGATTCTGGGACCCAACATCACAACAAGATGATATTTTAAGCTCCTTGTGTAGCCGAACCTGCGCTCAGTGCGCTGGTTTGAATGGGCCACCTCCAGTTTCCCCTTTGTTTTGCTGCCTCCAGCTAGCGCTGTGACTTCGGCTGACCCTAGTTACCTGTGGTTGGCCTGGCCGTGCGTCACTCAGAACACAACAGGCCAATCAGAAGAATGAATATTAATTAGACAGACCAAAAAACTGACGCATAGCCTACGGCGTAAAGGCTACGGTGTAGGTCCGACGCAGAAGTACAAATCAGCCTTAAGTGTGAACTGCGTAATCTGTACGTTACTTGTTCTCAGTGCTGAATATCAAGTCTGTCATGTCGTCATATCTGAGTCAAGACACAAACGCGCTACCATCAAGTTTATGCAAGTGTCATGAAAGTGAGTTAAAGGTATGTTAAACTGTAAATCCGTCAGTCTTTCAATTTCCTTCAGTGCCCAGCCCACTGGCAGAGCATGCAGGTACTTCAACTTGAAACCAGTCTTTATCATATGGCATGCTATTTTGGGTTAAATAATGTCCTAGATATACAAAGTTAAGTTTTAATGGAGAAATATGTCTGAATCTATCTGTATTTTCTTTTCACATTATAAATAATCAATTAATAGTTATAAATTCTTAACACATGTTAACTTATTCTAATGTTCATTTTAAGATGCCTTATTACTCATGTTACTCATTAAAAATTATACAAATATATTTAATAATCAGATTAAATAAACACAAATTGTTTCAGGCCTCCATGTGAATATTGCACAATGTTTCATTTAATTGACCCTAGAATGAAGTATGTAAAAAAAATTTAAAATAAGTTTACGATTTGACACCCGTATTATAGACAGTTCTCAGCATACTCAAAATTAGGGGTAATCACAATTATTTGACCATATTTACATTACATTAAATTACTGAAATAAGTGTTTTTTTTAATCCTTTTTCAATAGAATTGGCCCAGACTTCTGCAGTGTCAAGTGAAAGAAGCTCCTCTCATAAGATTGCAAACTGGGAGTCTGATGACACTGAGCGTGAGTGATGGAAGCCCTTCAAGAAAGGAGCAGAATGCTGAAGATGACGCCAGAATTGTGAGTCTGTGTCATTTATATGTTATTCTATGTGCAGTACAGATTTAAAACGCACAAATGAATATTAAAGATTAAAGTTTAACTGGGCAGGCACACATATCAACATATGTTCACACCTGGAATTTACTAATTATTAATTTAAGATATCAAACTGCAAAAAGATAAATGGTTAGTTGACCCAAAAATGATTGAAATTAAATTTTTTTTCATATTTAAACATTGATCAGGGAACATAAACAGAAAATTTGGACTAAACCACAATACGTCTGGATTAGTTCTCTTTATGAAGTTTATGAAGTATCAAAGTGGTAGTTGCGTGGACCGTCATTCAAGGGACAGAAATCTTATATTCTTATAATATCTTCAATTGTGTTTCAAAGATAACAAAAGTCTTGGCTGAGTAAACTGATGAAATTTTCATTTTTGAACTAAGCCTGTAATAAAAGAATGTGGCTTTCTGTGAATGTGGCATATATTTATCACCCAAGATGCGTGCTAATGCCAGGTGTGAACAGAGCCACTGTGTGACTACACAATCAACTTTTTGATTATTGTTGTCTTTTTTAGATATTGTTGTCATTAATTGTTTTTTCTTTTTTTTTTCTTTTCAAGAATCCAAGTTCCTGGCTTCTCCCAAGACCTTCAAGGACCCAATTGACCTCGGAATCAGCTGTAAAGGAGGATGAAACCGATGTCTAAGGTTAGACTATATTTCAGAATAAGATTATCTATATTAATGCTTTATCTATATTCTGTTCTCATGCATTTTTTTTTGCTAAAGTTGTCATATCTGTTATTTAGAATGGGACAGCGATATTGCATCAATTGGTCTCCTACTTCATTTGATTCCACATCACCACAAGACTGCAAGGGACCTGGAAAAATGTCATCCTATCAAGCTGAAGAACATATTCAAAAAGGTACATTTGGACATTTCTGTCACTACCTATTGTCTGCCTCAAAATATTGCCAGATGGGTTGTATATGAAAGACTAATGTAAATAAAATCAGTTGGAGAGCTGGCCTTGAATGTTATTTTTGTCTTTGATCTGCAGGCACTAACAAGAAGAACAGCTTGATTGCATAGAAGAGACCACACAGCCATACCTGCTTGCTGATGGGACAACGAGGAACATCATTCATGGATGCTACACAACTGTCAAATCTACCTGTCATATTTGTTCATGTCTAGGTAAATTTGATGATTTTGGGTTTTATTAACTATTTTATGTTTCTGTGCAACACTTAATGAATGTGACTGATTAATTAACCTCTACACATCTGATATATGTTTTAAAGTTGCCACTTTGCCCATTTGTTAAATAAACGTTGACATTTATACATCCGTCTGAAGACTCTTGATTGTATGTCTAATCTTGTACATTAACACCATACAATAGCATTTTTTTGGTTTGCACTGAAAAGAGTACTTTATTAATAACACTTAAAGGATTAAAACAACACCAGGGGTGTTAAATACCCCATAGTGTAACATTTGAACAACAATAGCAAGTGTAACACTTTACACTTGGAGTTTAATTTTTCTACACTGTAAGGTGCTATATTAACACTAAAAATGCAACACTATGAACGGTGTACTTTTAACACTAGACAGATTGGGACCATATATGATCTTTAGTAGTGTTAAAATCGACACTTTGTGTTAAACTGACACTGTTTTTTACTGCGTTCTGTAACCCTGAAACTGGATCTTTGGGGCTCAGGGCTGCAGCGGGTTAAGGAAGGGATTTCCTCTTTGCCTCTGTCTTACCTCAGTGATCTATTGGGATCAAGCGCAGGAGGTCAGCGACCGATGCATTATCAGCATTTGATACCGAGCTCCCTGGAGAGACTCAAATTTACTATTAGCTTTTGTTTCAGGACTTCTAGCCTTTCATTAGCCAAAGTGACACTTTTAAAAGCTTATTTAAATTTTTTTTGTTGTGTCATTTATCTTTATAAGTTATTAATCATGATATCTATCTGTTCAGCACTTTAATAGCTAACCACACTTGTGGGTGGGATCAAAATAAAATCACAGGTCCCTGTGGTTCAGTTGGGGATGGTTTAATACACTACAGCCAGTAAAAGCTTCATCCACTAGCTTGAATGCTTCTGCAGAGGGCTGGATTTATATAGTCTATTGATGAGCAGCAGCACACAGTGAAACAACAGACACAATATGCTGAGCGAAACATATCATCTGATTCACATTCAAACACTACAACATTTTTCTATAGCTTCAATTACAAACACAAACATACATTTTTGGGGGGGATATTTATCAGCAGGTCTATGGTATTCTTAAAAGTACCATGTACTTTACATCTTAATACACCCTAATAATATTTTCAAATTTTTATATTGGATTTATTAAAAATTATAGAAAATATTCTGTTCAAAAGTAATATATATTAAACATGTAATAATTCATATTTTATGATGGAATTCTTGGTCTGGAACAAGAGTAAAGCAACAAATCTATATAAAATATATGCACTACTGTACTAAACACTATGAGGTTAGCTTTAGCAAGTCAAATGAGTTGGACATTATATGAAGTAGAATTTATTAGAAATAGAAATCTTTTGTAACATTTTAAATGTCACTGCTGGTGTGTCCTTGCTAAACAAAAATATTTATTTATTGATTTAAAAAGAATTACTGACTGCAAGAATGAATGGTACTAGTGTATCTATATACAGTGGGGCAAAAAAGTATTTAGTCAGCCACCAATTGTGCAAGTTCTCCCACTTAAAAAGATGAGAGCTTTCCCATGACCTACCAAGGTTCAAAGTTTTAAGGTTACCACACATTTTTAATACAAATCGACCCATTGAACACAAAAGTGCCTTCAGTTGAAGAAACATCAATTCAGAGCGCAGTGAATTAAGCATTTTTTAAACTGACAAATGCACAAAATGGATCCAGATCTTTAATACACAGAGGTTGTTGCTGTGTCTGTGAGAAGGGAAGCATTAAAGTGATTGATGGGCTTCAGGGCTTAGAGAAAGAGAGAGTCTCAAGCTGGTGGCCCTGACACTCAAGATGCAGAGCAGTCACAGGGCAGCGGCCGTCACCCTGCCCAAAGACTCGCCATTCCTAATTTATGAGGGCTCTATCAAGCCTCAATAATTCATACACCCAGCTCCACACAGTGATCACTGAAGCACAGACCGCCTTTCACACAAGACCAAAAAAAAGATGTATTAATAAACACCATTCTCTTTCAGACAAGGTTTGCCTCTCCATTATGAGATTCTTTATTTCGGCGGCAGTGGGACTATATTTGGTACTGCCTATGAATCATCTGACACACAAATGGCTGCAAGACAAAAAAGCTGAAACGGCATTCACAAAACAACTGTTAATATATAAGGGGTTATCGCAAAATTCTGATGCATTATGATTCAAAACCAAGTAAAAAAACGAATTCACTGATGATACAGTAGGTCAAACTGTAGCTATTTATTATCCTTTTATTGTGATCATTAAAAACACCACGATGAATTCACTAAGAATGCACTGCGTCCCTAAAAAGTAGGCCTAACTGAACTGAATATTTGCGTAGGATGTCATAAAAATTTATGTTTAGTTCTAGGGCTCCATATTCTATATTTGGCACCATTATGGGAGACAATATTGGTGGACGGATGAGAGACAATCGATTGTTCCCTGAGAAAAGGGCTCACAATACACGCTGACACAAATACGGGGAGAGTGCAGCTGGGTTTAACACACTGACACACATACTGATGGTGCATGTGAGCATCTCTATCAGCTGAGCAAAGAAACTGAATGGGATATGCATATATAATGTGTCAGATGTGGGTCAGTGTGCGGCACATTGCTCATATAGATGCATATGTTTAATGTGCCGTACTGAAGTAGTGGCTGGTGCTGGCATTACTTCCTGTGCTCCTCTGAGCCTGGGAAACGGCATGGGAACTGTCCCACATTCCTCAGATGAGTCCCGACCAGGGAATACAAACGTGTACAGCAGGAATGTATTGTCATTAGTGCATGGGACAATGTCAGTGAGACTACAAGGTATTGACTCAACTACTCTATTCAATGAAGCTGCTACGTACCAATGACATATGGGTGCTGTGTGTGAATGGAAAGTTTGATTAGTCCATTAATGGGCCAGACAGTCTAAAGTAGGGGTGTCAAACTCAATTCCTGGAGGGCCGGAGTCCTGCAGAGTTTTGTTCCAACACACATACCATGTAGTTTTCAAATAAGTCTCAAGGACTTGATTAGTTGGATCAGGTGTGTTTAATTAGGGTTGAATGAATCTAAACTCTGCAGTGCTGGCCCTCCAGGAGTTGAGTTTGACACCCCTGGTCTAAAGACATGTCAATGGTTATATAACCATAACCAACCCACATTCTTACAGGCAGGTTCTGAATGATGGGTCTCTCTGTTGGTTAATGGGTCTCTTAATAAGTGCCCTACACAATGAGAAAAATTAATTAATTAAAGGGATAGTTCACCCAAAAATAAAAAATTATATCATTAATTACTCACCCTCATGTCGTTCCAAACTCGTAAGGCCTTCGTTCATCTTCAGAACACAAATTAGAATATATTTGATGAAATCTGAGAGCTTTCTGACCCTTCATAGACAGCAATACAACTGACACATTCAAGGCCTAGAAGGTAAAGATAAGATATATGTAAAGATATTAAAATAGTCCATGTGACATCAGTCATTAATAGGGTTGCAAAAAGGTGGAAAATTTCTGGAAATTTTGGAAAGTTTCCAGGGATTTTTGGAAAGTTTCCGGAAATTTACCAGAAATTGTTCAACCCTTTGCAACCCTAGTCACTAAACCGTAAAACAAAAATAATGACTTTATTCAATTTCTTGTCTTCAGTGTCAGTCAAGCCAGAAGAAATTGTTGAAAAAAGTTATTTTTGTTTTCTTTGCACACAAAAAGTATTCTCGTAGCTTCATAAAATTATGGTTGAACCACTGATGTCACATGGACTATTTTAACAATATCCTTACTATGTTTCTTGGGCTTGACTGTGGTATATCCTTGCTGTCTATAAAGGGTCGGAAAACCCTTGGATTTCATCACAAATATCTCAATTTGTGTTCCAAAGATGAGCAAAGGTCTTACGGGTTTGGAACAACATGAAGGTGAGTAATTAATGGCAGAATTTTCATTTTGGCATGAACTATCCCTTTAATTCCCAAGCTGGACACTGCATCTAGGTGTCTTCTAATGATACCATAAATTCATATTTGCCCACAAGATCATGCCATACAATGTTTCCCTTCAAAACACAACTTTGTACCATTACATTAGCTTCACATACTCAGGGTTAGGAGGTCTGAACAAGCCCCTAACATAATTTTTAAAGTTTGATGAGGCCTCATAATTTAAATGATGCAGAATAACCACAGAGTACCAAAAATAAATAAATAAATAAAAAAGTAATCTGCACATTCCACTGAATATCATTTACCATATTAAATATTTTTAAATTGTGAGTTTATAGCCTATTCACAACCAATTAGAATTAGCCTTTTATGCTTGGGAAAACTGCATGGTCTGCACACAATATCCTTGTACGCAATCCAAACAAAACATCACTGCTCACATTAATTTTTCACAGCATGAACAGGGTTTTCCCTCCTAATATATGGTTGCTTGTCCTCCACGGCAGAGTACAATGTGGTAAACTCATTTGCAATGTTGTTTATTTACTTTGCACAGAACAAAATTGTTTTAATAATAATATTTATTTAGATTTTATAGTTTAAAAACTGTAGATGTTAAGTCTTGGTATCAAAGTCCCTTTAAAACCTTTTTAAATGGTGGTATATGATTGCCATCTGCCTTGCTTGGGGTAGGAGAGTCAAGTTCTTCAATAGCAATGTAATGTCTTATAAACATCGGTTTACAATTGCCTTTTGTAAATTGTTTCAACCAACCTCAGGAAATGAGTGGTATCAGGAAATGGCCCATATTTGGTCAGAATGGTACTTATTAATTGATTTAATTGAATTAATAGAGCGCTGATTCTAAGTCAACTTTATGTAAAACAGGAGGAAGTGCTAAACTCCTCATTGGCATCAGTATTTACACAACAAAAGGGGTCTTAACAAGCCCTTTCAGCATGCATCAAGCACGGTACTATTATGATGCAGAATAATCAATGCATTTGATGCTGAACACTATGCAGATGAGGCCCGGTAACAGCCAGGGATGATTTGGCGACCAACAATGTGGCCATTTCATCTCTGAAAATTGAGTTCTTTCCACCAGCCTTGATGTAGACAGAATATTAAGCTGCACACTGAATGAATCACTAACCCCTTGATGGCCTTTAGTTCATCAAAACAACTATGAAAAAACAGTCCTGATTCAGAACATCCAGGTGATAGTGATAATGTAAAACAAGAAGCCAAAAAAGAAAGCACAGCACGTTTAAATGAAGTGTACTGCATTGATGCCTGCGCTGATATAGTAAACTCTTCATTGCTACACGATACAGAATATGAAAGGTTCTACTGTAGATACTGTTAATGGGGAATGAGACTAACTACATTATACTGTATTTTAGACACAAAGAAGTATATAAATGAAAACTGTTCATTTAATCCGGGCCCCTGCTGTTTCCTAAATTTGTTTTTCTGGCTAGAGAGGGAGAACATGATTATTTCAGTCATGCGTTTTGCTTTGGAAACAAACCGGTTTTATCAAGGAGCATGATTCCACAGATCTGCTGATTCAGCTGAACTACCTGCTTAAAATATAAAGTATGTCATGTTTTCAGGCTAGAAGTCACAAACAACATTAGATTGTATGTATGAAAATGTTCAAATGATAATGGCTTTGTACTACAGAAGGGGAATATGCCACATTTGGGCTCTCATATACGTTCACTCATAATTGAATATCATGAGATTTATTTGCTGGCTTGGTGGTCAAAAAAAATCGCCATAAATGAAAATTCACCTTATCGATTTTCTAAATGCATGTTATTGATTATATTCTGAACAATTCATCAATGAGTTGTTTGTGGATTTTTTAAATATAAAATCATATCTGGATCTTACAGTGAAACAACTGAATTCTCTTATGTAATGTATGCAGTACTTCTCCAGTCATTTAGTCCTCTTAAACCCTGACACTGCAAGATTAAATTCACCTGTCTTCATTTCTGAATGTAACAACTGATGCATAGAACCAAGTCCCCACCTTACATTTTTTTCTTTTTCAATATATGGAAGAAACTGATCTGTCATTACTTCCGTTTCACCGCAACTTTAAGCTATGTATCAGCAATGTACAGTAAAAGCAGGAGGCCTTTGAACGATGAGTGCTCATGTTATCATTTTAAAGAAAATAACATATTCTACACACAGCGGTTGTGCAGACATCTAAATAAGATAATGCATTTTAATAAACACTCAACAGTGAATAAAGCCTATTACAGCCTTCCTGACATTGTGCACATTTCCACTTAATTTTACCTCAAGGTCATTTAAAAAAAATCCTTGAATTACAAGCCAGTTTTCAAAATCAAATAAAACATCTTTAACCACACAACACATATTGGTCCTTCCAACTGACAAGGTGACCTAGACTATATTTAAGAACAAAACAATACAAACACAGCAGTGAGGACATTCATCATAGAGCTGCACATGAGATGTGTTATATCAGAGCTATATGGGCTACAACAGCTGTATCAAATGTTGCTGCATATATATATATATATATATACATATATCTCACCCTCATTATCATGATGCTTTAGTCCACATCATGCTGTGGTAATTTAATCATTCTAAAATCCACATCATAATATGATAATGTCATGTGTTATTCTAGTTGTGAAACTGTTTTAGTAACATTTCATATTATTCTCTCTCAAGATAAATGCGCCATGCCTTGTATCAAGGGCAAGGCCAGACTGATGTGATGTTGTTCTTGTGGTAGACCTTCCAAAGAACATTCACACTTGACTAGGCAAAACAAACAGTAGCTATATAACGTCATTTGCATCTTAGCTAACTTCAGTTATGGAACATTAAGAGTTTGTTTAAATAAAACACATTTAAAGTAGGTGGCATACTACATGTAATCTACAGGAGATATGCAAATGTACTCTGAGTGACTCATGAGCAGTTCTGAGCTCATCTGTCCTTGCAGCTCTCCTGTCATGTTTTCATAGTGACCATGATGCATGTCGAGGTCATTTAATGTGTTTTTCGTTAATCTGATCAATAGCTAAATACAATGTTGATGTATAGTCTACACAACACTGAAATAGGCAAGCTAGCTTTTATTTCAATTGAGATCTTATTTATCTCACTACCTTCATTTGGAGAAGCTGTATTTATTTTTTTTGTTTAATGCCACGATGCAGCATAATGCGCACGACCAAACCATCTAAATTGTAGTGATGCACCGAAATTTCAGCAAACAAAAATATTTTTAAAAAAAATATATGAATTTTTAGGTTATGGCCAAAAACAAAGGTTATTAAGGCTGAAATCACTGACCAATCACTGATCATCGCTTCTCCGATGACTGTGTCATTGTCTTATTGTATGCATACAATGTGGATAAGCAGTGTAGATTCCGGAGCAAAAATGATGAGTAGCAATGTGTAAAATTTCTTAGTCTGAAATATTGAGTGGATGCTCGTTGACAAAAAATCTTTACTATGACAGGTTTATCATCTGTGAACACAACACCCTGACCAACACACTAAGTTCAGTTACCCAAATTCTTTATCGAAACATGTTTTTTTGGTTTTTAGTTTAATGGAAACTTTAATTTTGTTTTTTTGTGTTTCTGAAAAAATGATTTTGTTGCATTGCATCACTACTAAACGGCAAAACTTTCTGATCGAGAACAGCTGTCAGCTCTCATTAAATTTAACTGCAACTTTATTTGTCCAGTAAGCAACTGAGGAAAGAACAGCAATCCTGTAATGACTCCCCTGATGACCATTACTTAGATAATGCAGTCTGTGTGGACAGGAGTCCTGATCTCAGCCAATCATTTAATGGAGAACAATCATCCTCTATCCACCATTTCTGAGTCCACTATGTCTATGTGTAACACCTGCCAGTGCCACTGTTTTCTAATACAGTTTTCTTTCATTAAGAGTTATGAATTTCTTGAGCTTGCTTGACTTCTAAAGTGCTGTAAAACGTTTGCAAGATCAATGTTATGATGATTACTTGCTAAACAGATTTTCAATGTGGTCTCAATCTTTATAATTCAACTATATACATTTTAAAGAATATGTTGTGCATTTACAGGTAAAATGTCCATTGTCAGTATGTTAAAAAAAGATCAGATCGGCCGTTGGGGTCAAATGCAGAACCTCTAATCTAAGAGTGTCAGCTGGTCTCCATCTGTAATGGCAAATAATGGCAGATTTCCAGTCATCTTCACCCCATAGTGTGTCTTAAGAGTGAAGACAGTCACCCAGCAACCTGCTAATTCCCACCAATCACATGCATCTGCTGTCCCCCATCTCAATCTCTATTGACTTTTAATCATCATAGATATTAATTTAGTATTCAGAGATCCTGCACTTCGGTATTTGCTTATGAATGACATCCAACAGTAAAGCTGTTGCTTTAAATAGGGTATCCTGTGAAATTAAAGCCGAAGCTTAGACTCACAGAAGCTGAGTAAACTCGGGAAACATCGCTCAAAAATAATAAATGAAAACTCGACAGTCCATTCATTTAGCCTGCGCTGTTAATGAACTAAAAGCCGCGAATCACATTCACAACGGACTCATTGAAGTCTAGATACAGGACCAATGACAGTTTGGTAGATGCTCATACTTACATTGGGCGCGAGTCACTCGTTTCCTCGAGACGACGGCGTGACGGTTTCATCCAAACACGATTCTGCCGGTTCGGGAATGAACCGGCTAGCGACGACCCCCAAGTAAGCTACGACCCCCATTCTGCCTTGTGTGAATGGAAATCCAAGTACACTATTATTTTCAAAGCACGTAAATGACATAACAATTGCACTTTTGTGCTACTCTATAATCAAAGGGGAGACTATTCCGCTGATATGGACTTTTTGTATATTTGTTTAATATAATGTAAAATAATTATTAATTTATTATTAAAGTCATTATTCATTTATTATAGGTTCTTATGAAATTACCAGCTTTGAACATACCTTAAAATATATATATATAATTTTGGACTTACACTACGGGTCAGTATATTATACTTTTCTTTTCTTTTTTTGCTGCTAGTGCTACTGAAAAGCGACTAGGATTTCTGTTGTCATTTTAAAAAAAGTCAATTTTCTTAGAGAGCACTAGAGAGCGCCCATGGGTTGGGGTTAAAAAATGGACACTTCCGTCTGACTTTGCGTCAGGGTTGACTGACAGTGTTCTTAGCCAATTACAGTGAAGAAGAGCTCCAATGAGGCGTGACCAAGTCCACAAACACAGCCAATCACAGCGTAGCAAGCGCAAGCAACGGGTCCGTACTCCAGAGGTGAGGTGTCTATTTCTGCCGTATCGAACCAAGCAGAAAGTTAAAAACTGGTAACATATGATTACAAAATTGTGATTAGAATGAATGGAACAGCATATTCAAACTTTGACAATCAAGAACACGTTCTCAAACTAGGCGAAACCTTTGAGAAACAACCTAAAAGTGCATTCCACACGGTACGATGTAAGTGGCATCTTTTACATTATCTTACATTTTACATTAAGAAATTATATTTTGAAAAAAAGGACCTGTTTTTTACGCTGATACTGAAACCATAAGTTGTTTTCAAACAATGTGCACAGGCATATGAGAAGGCAGCTATGTGCTTTTCCACCTTGCGGTTGTGGCTAGAAGGGATACAGCAAAAACCAGAAGCTAATAAATTGAATTTCCTACCTATTAGATTGTTTTATTAACGTCTAACGTTACACCTACCCCAACCCTAAACCTACCCCTTACAACAATGCTAAACTAATAATTGTTGTACAGTGTGAGAAAAATTACGCTGTATTGATGTGCGCATGCCCAGTAAAGTTTTGCTGTATGCCATCTAGCCTTAACCGCTGGCTAACCCAGCTTTTTAATGTTATTTGGGAATAATAATAAAAAAGCATTTGTCTTTGTGCTTATAATGGGATCCTACCAAAATGAACACGATTTTCTATCCTCTGAAAAGCTGTGGTTTAAAATGAATTCTTGGAGAACATTTAATTCATGAGAAATGATTGACTTTCCATTACAGTAGGAAACACGCGCCCTCTGTAGGTTCCACATTGGCACGCCGCACAACACTACTTCTGATGTCAGCAATGGCACACATGGTTATTATTAAATATGAATGTTTTCTTCCTGGTCATAGATGATTTCAAACCAGCCTCCATAGACACAACATGTGAGGGGGAGCTGGAAGTGGGCAAAGGAGAGCAAGTTACAGTCACACTACCGAACTTAGAGGTAGGCTCAGTAACCTTAGTTCCACAAAAAAAAATCTTGTATGTACAGTAACATTGAAGATTAAGCTGAATCTTCTTTCCCATCAATCTTTGCAGGGATCCACGACACCTGTTACCGTATTTAAAGGTTCCAAAAGGCCTTATATGAAAGAATGTGTTCTCATCGTTAACCATGACACAGGAGAGTATCGTCTGGAGAAACTCAGCAGCAACATTGCAGTCAAGAAGACCAGGTATAATGCTTTTGTGTTCCAAGTCATATGGATTTATCATTTATTTCATTATATACTCCTTTAAAGCATTTAAGTAAACAAATGGTCATATTTCCATATCCTTACAGGGCTGAGGGAAGCAGTAAGATTCAGTCCCGGCTAGAGCAACAAACCAGCAGGCTTAGTCAGCAGATGAAGACCGGCAGTGGAAACAAGGCTCCATCCAGCACCAAGAGCTCTCCTCCCAAGGAGAAAATGTCTCCATCATCTCCCATGGATGATATTGAGCGAGGTTTTATGTCTTGACAGTATCTGGAAACATTGAAATCAGGGTTTTAGTCAGTTCAGTCAGTATAATCAGGAGGACACCAGCTTGAATACTAGAGAGCCATAATCCAAACACACAAAAGTACATTACTGTTCAAAAGTTTAGGGTCAGTATGATTTTTTTTTATTTTATTAAATAAATGAATACTTTTATTTTGCAAGAACACATTAAATTGATCAAAAATGACAGTAAAGACTTTTACAAAAAAATAAATGCTGTAATTTCAAACTTTCTATTCATAAAAGAATCATGAAACATGATTCCACAAACTTATTAAGCAGCACAATTATTTTTTAACATAGTTTTTTAAATAATTGAGCACCAAATCAGCATATTAGAATGATTTCTGAAGGATCATGTGACACTGAAGACTGCAGTAATGACTGCAGTAATTGCCATCCCAGCAATAAATTGCATTTTAAGTTATAATTTTTTGGTTACACTATATTTTAAGGTGTCCTTGTGTAATCAGTGTAATTATATATTTAAGTACTGAGTAATATTAATTAACTACATGTACTTACTATATGGTTGGGATTAAGGTTTGGCTTAGCATGTAATTATGCATAATTTATTGTTATTATAATAGTAAGTACATGTAAGGTGTAACAAGGACACCGTAAAATAAAGTGTTACCAATTTTTGAATCATTTAACAGTTATTTTAAATTGTAATAATATATCATAATAGTACTGTTTTTACTATATTGATGAAATAAATGCAGCATTTGTGAGCATAAGAGACTTCTATTAAAAACATTAAAATCTTACTGACCCAAGCCCCTTGAACAGTAGTGTACAAGCAGGTGTACTGGAATTCTTTAGGCAGTCCTTCTTGTTTTATGTGTTTGTGTAGAGCTGATGGCCGAGGCGCGTGTCATGGATCAGATGAGCAGTGGAGATAGCTCCTCAGATTCCCACAGTTCCTCCTCCAGTAGCGGGGACAGCTCCAGCAGCAGTGACTCAGAGGATGAGGATCGCCCCCCACATAATGTGGCCCCAGCTCCCCCTCAGAGCACCTCTGCCCTCAGCACATCTCAAAGCCGTGTGGAGGAAAGCAGCGAGCATTTCATGAACACACTCAGTGAGTTTCAGGGCTTCTGGGTGATTTTGGATGGTCTGTCATTCTGTTTTGTGTGTCTAATATGCTAACGTTTCGATTTATTTCAGAAAATGATCTCCAGTTGAGTGAGTCTGGGAGTGAAAGTGACGATGACTAACCGCGAAGACGTGTGAGACACCTGATGCTGAATGAGGGTCAGGTGCTCAGGAAGTACATTTACTAGTTAAAACTTTGTGATACCTGAATCCAAATCCCTGTCAACTTCTCAGTTATTCATTTTTTTTCTTTCCCCCAGTTTCTTAGTAATACTTGCATCAGCACGAGCTGTGCCAATGGACACATAACTGTTTTTTTTTTTTTTTGCTGTATTAGTAAATTAAGAAAAAGTATTTATTTTGTTGAGAATGCTACTGCATAGATGTTACTTTTATAGGAATGTCCTATAATTACTTCCCCAGAGGTTATATCTGTTTGTGAAATAGCTGTTTAAAAAGATCACCATGGTCTTCTTTTTTCTATATATTTTTTGAGGCTTAACATACTCAAGCACAAGTGATTTAGCAGCATTTTATAAGGAGTCTTAAGGAGCACCAGTGCATTAAGATGCCAAGCTCAATCTCAGATATTTACACATTACCCGACCTGCAATACTTGAATTGGTCTCTTTTGCGGATTCAGAGACATTTGTTCATAACAAACTGTGCCTTGTATATAAGGTGCATTTTGACTATCCATCCCATTCTCTTAAATTGAAGTACACCCACTTTTTTTTTTTATTCCTGCTTGGGTTCCCTAAAATATGATCTCCATTTAGAGGTAGAAGTCTCTGTGTTGTGTATGTCTTACTGTATGCCTCTGGAAGGCCCAAAAGCAACACTCTAACTCTTAAAGGATGTCCTTAGCCAGCCCTTCTTGAGCACTAATTGCAAAATATGACGTGCCATTATTATAGCAGGGTTGACTGATGTGGTTAAATGTAGTTCTGTGGGAGGTTTGATCATTATGATCATTATTAAAATTGTGTGTAGACTAATAAAGATTTGTTTTGTGATGTTTATTTGTTGATCATTTTATTGTTTCAATATAGCAGCACATCATTATATAGCAGCATCTGAGCTGCAAAGTATGTTAACCGAGCTTCAAGTTATGGCATAATTCACTTGTTTAAGTCTGATTGAGTATTTGTGAGATAGGAATCATTGCTCTAATTATATTGAGGGGTTCAACATACAGTAAATCTTTTTGAACATTATGTAGTGGTTTATAAGACATGCATCTTTTCTGTGAAGACTCGAGAGACTATTTGACAAGCATTGGGTTGTTTCTGAAGTGAAGATGTTGAAATGGTGTTCTTACTATGGCCCTGAGCAAGTGTGTATGCAAATTATTTTTTAAATTTTGTGTGTGTGTGTGTGTGTTCTTCCATGTAATGGTATATCTATTGTGCAATGCATGGAGACATGAAGTTGTTCATTTTTAACACTATTACAAAAAGTTGTCATAGCAAAATGCCACAGTTATTAGTGTGCCATATGACCATGGATACTTGATATAATTTCTCATTGTCATCAAAATATATGTCTTAGAAGATTTTCATAGCTTTCTTTTCCAAAACACTGTTAGATGTTTATAAAAAGAGTTATAAAAAGCAGGTAAAATCTTTCCACATTTCACGTGCCATGAGACATTTGTTCATTCATGTGATTCATTTTTTAGATAACTTATTTTAAAAAGGCCAATGCCTTTAACACATCAAAAAAAATAACAGTAAAATATCTAGTTTGACCATGGTGAATTCAATAGATAACGCTGAAACGCAGTTTGAAAACATCTAGTTCTTACGACCCGTTTTGTGACTTGTAACAGTCAGTGAACAGAAACACTTTGGTTAAAGGGGTCATATGATGCGATTTAAATTTTTCCTTTCTCTTTGGAGTGTTACAAGCTCTTGGTGCATAAAGAAGATCTGCAAAGTTGCAAAGACTATAGTCTCAAATCCAAAGAGATATTCTTTATAAAAGTTAAGAGTCAACCACGCCTACCTAAAATGGCTCGTTCTAACACGCCCCCACATGTCTACGTCATGATGTGGGAAGATTTGCATAACGCCGCCCAAATGTTCACACAAAGAAAGAAGGCATAACTTTTATTCTCGCTGTAGTATTGTTGACGCTGCAGCCATGTCGTGAAGGCGCTGTGTGTTTCGTTATGAAAGCGAAACTACTTTGTTTGGTCTTCCAAAAGAGGACGATATCCGCTTCGTCATGTTTAAACCGCATAAACACATTTCATTACACCAAATACACAAAATAGTGTTCTTTTTAGCAACATCATATGACCCCTTTAAATTTGTTCTGTGAAAAGCGCAAACGTTGTAACCAAAAGGACACATTAAATTGATCAACAGTGATAATGAAGTGTTTTACATATTATTGTTGCACAATATATTCCTATTTCAAATAAATACTATTCATTTGAACATTCTATTCCAAATCTGCATATTAGAACGATCTCAGAAGGATCATGTGACACTGAAGACATCAAATAAATGCAGCCTTGATGAGCATTGGAGACTTTTTACAAAAATATTCAAACGTCTTTCCTGATCCCAAACTTTTGATCGGTAGTGTACATTCGCTTGAAATTACTGTAATACGCCGCAAGATTACATACTTAAATGGTTGATTATTATGATTTTATAGTAGTAACAGTCGTATTTTGGCAGAAACAATGGTTGCCGTGAAGGTAAATGTGTGTAGTGGTAGTAACACTGGCGACTTTCACGGAATCTCAACAGGAACAGTTACCCGCCTCGATAACAAGCGAGTTGACTCAAGTTCATTTACAGGGGAAGAGTCGCTCTTGGCACAGACTGCCATTACAAGGAAGCACACTGCTCTGACAGGACTATTGTACAGACTGCGCTGTGGACTGCGAGATTAGACATGTCTTCCAATTCAATGCTGAGAACTGGATCATTTTTATGCAAGCAGGACTACGGAGGAATAAAATGCCTGATATCGGTATTCTGCACTCGGACAACCAGTAACGTTACAGTAATAGGTGGTGATAAACAAAAAACCATGGACGACTTGGATGGTCCTAGCTTTCTGACATCATTATACTGGCTCTTTGGGAAAGGTTATTTTCAAACTACACATCAAATGCAGGTAAAGATTCATACGAAGGTTCAGTGAAGAACACTTTTAATCTCCAAATGATTGTCTTCATTCCTCCCGGGAAAGTTATGTCGGGTTTTTATAGCTTTGTTATATATATATATATATATATATAATATACGGCTCCGGCCCAATTTAAACCCTATATATAGGGTTTAAATTGGGCCGGGGCCGTCCGGGGCTGAGCCCCACCACATATAGACTCCAGGGCTCGACATTAACGCTTCATTAACGCAAGACAAGTAACATGATTAAAACATCAGAAACAAAAAATACCAAACCGCAAGTATAATTCTGATTTTATTACCTTTAGAGTAAGTGGCGAATAGTGGATATAGCTACTGTAACGTTATATAATGCATTTTAACGGAATAAGGTTGCGCTGCTGAGGCGAGGCTCTCCAGGAGAAATCTAAACGCGCAACACTAAGAAACTGAGCATCCTGAGGTAAACATTCAAAATGGAAAGTTTTTATATTTAAAATACAGTTAGTTAGGCAACAACACACAACGTTTTAACCATTACGACGGTTTAATGGTTCTATAAACAGGTCAATAAGCAAATACTATTAGGTCACTTACATTTTAGGCAGAACCACAGCGCATCTCACAGCAACCAGCCGATTCATTGCTGAATGATTCCGTGTTTTGAACGAATCGGTTGAATCAAAGTTTCATTAGCCCATGCATAAACATCTGATGAATCTGCCGTTTGAACGAATCGCTTGTCATGACTCACTCATTAAACGCTCACTACTGGCATCTACTGGCGTTTTAATTTAGTTTAAAAGTATCATTTCCACCATCATTTCTTGTTTGTATATTCAAAAAAAGATTTAAAATAATCTCATAATATTATTTAATGCAGTTGTATTTTTCAGTGTAAATGATTTAATTTGATAACGTATAGATAACATTATTATAATTGAATTTATAGATCAAATAAGATCAAATTTGAAATGAAAATATTAATGAGATTAGTGGGAAAATGCCCTCTATAAAGGTAAAAAAAAAAGAGGGAAAATTTTATGGATAAAACATAAAAAACGCACATTTATGTCACAGCTGATAGAAAACTGATGAGAATATTGCTTCAGAATAAATCATATTTGCAAGTTAATAATGATAATATGTAACATGAATCTTTATTTAAACTCAAATGTGTAATTAATGCAGATAGAGCACAGCAAAATCTACGGCCCCCTTTGGAGGTCCAAATATGGACCACTGGTTGTTGTTAATGTGGCCAATGCAGACCTCATAGAACAGGTTCTACGGCAAGAGGGTCGCCATCCCATCCGTACTGACATGCCCCACTGGAGAGGCTACCGAAAACTCCGGAATCATGCTTATGGACCCCTGACAGAGTAAGTAACACTGGAGACCCCAGTATTATTGGCAAAGTATTCCTCTGTTATTTAAATGCATTCATTGCACTCATATTGTGCAACCATAATGCTGTCAGCTGCTGCAAAAGTATACATAAAAACATTTGCAGATGTTATAAACATGCATTGAGGAGCTTGCAATTGATTGCTTAGAAAGTGAGTAAAATACAAAATGAAAACATGACTGAAGACACACATTGTTGTGTCTGTTGAACAGTAAACCAAAACCATTCATGGAATTTGTATGCTAAACCCATTTTAGTGGGAATAAATAGGGAATTGTTTTTGAGATCTTACAGTGAACAATGAAATTGCATTGAAATCTGTGTGAAGGATGACAACTGAGGCAGACGATAAATACAAGTGTTAGTGGGAAAACTGGATTTGAGGTACCATAACCTCCAAACATAAATGAAAAAAATGAGGGCTTACTCATTCAGTGTTCAGAGGTCAACTATAAATTGACCATGAGAACACTGCATGAATTTGATCAGTTTTACCACATAAGCAATGTTCAGAACATATTTTGAATATAAAATGTCCACTTTTTTATGTTAGCAAATTATGCAAATATGTATGAGAAAGTAGTTTACTGACAGAAATGACAGTACTTATAAAGCATTTATTGTCCCATTTCAGAATGGGAGCGGAGTGGCAGCGCATTAGAAGCATTCTGAATCCTCGCATGCTGAAGCCCAAACATGTGTCCTCCTACACCAGTGCCATAAATGGTGTGGTGAGCGACTTTATTGAGAAGGTGGCAAAGCTTAGGACAACAAAAGGCAATGACCTTATGGTGTATGATGTGGCAGGAGAGCTGTACAAGTTTGCCTTTGAAGGTAGGCTATAACATATTGAGTAATTTCATGCTCAATATATTGAATTATGCCATAAAGTCATTCCCAGGCATTCATATTAGCAGTTTTAATGAATCAGGTGAGTACAAAGGGTCAATGCCACACATGCATGCATTAGATAACAGAGGCCATCCTATAAAGAGCATTGGCCTTGGCAAGTTCATAGCTTCTAGTCAACTGCAGTTGACTTTATTTCAACTAGTCTACCTTTCAAATAGACCAGGGTCATAAAAATATGTGGAAAGCAATTATGCTCTAATAAATAGAGCCTTAAAGATCAAATTGTGTACTTATAGTATTGCATTATTATGTTCCTGTGTAATTTTTATTTTAGGTGTAGTTTTTATTATCGCACACACACACATACACAACACTATAATTTTTTGTTGTCTTTCCTTCATAAGGAATATGCTCAGTGTTGTTTGAAACTCGTATGGGGTGTCTGAATGAAGTGGTTCCTGAAGAAACACAGAAGTTTATCTTCTCTGTTGGGGAAATGTTCCGTCTTTCTCCCATCGTGATCCTGTTCCCCAAATCTCTCTGGCCCTACATGCCTTTTTGGAAGCATTTTGTGGCTGTTTGGGACCATTTGTTCAAAGTTGGTAAGTCTATTACTATTATTGTCATGTTTAAAAGATAAAAAAATAAAATACAATTATTATTATGAATAAAAATGTTTTTATTGTTGTCATGTTTATTTGCACGACTGTTCAAAAGTTTGGGATTGGTAAGTTTAAAAAAAAAGTAAATTAATATTTTTATTCAGCAAAGATACATAATATTGATCAAAAGTGACAGTAAAGACATTTATAATGTTGCTGTTCTTTTGAACTTTCTATTCATCAAAGAAACCTGAAAAAATCACATTCCACAAAAATATTAAGCAGCACAAATGCTTTTCCAAACCCCAAACATTTGAACAGTAGTGTAGAGTGTCTCTATTCAAACTATACTCATTAGGTCACAGAATGCCAGTCATCTTCAAAAATGCTGTTTTTTTTGTGTGTTTTTTTGCACAGCGGATGAACTAGTGCAGAAGAAGATGGCAGAGATTCAGGAAAGGGTGAAATATGGGCAGCCAGTGGAGGGTGAGTATCTCACACACCTCCTGATCAGTGAACAGATGTCCTTCACTGAGGTTTTGGGAAGCATTACAGAGCTTCTGCTGGCAGGAGTCGACACTGTAAGTATCTTCACTCCTTATGGAGGCAATGCATTACTTATCTTGCCATTTACAACATTTGATTTAAAACTAAGAGGAATAAATAAGCAATAAATAAGTATCACTAG